TGTTCACCAAGGATGTAGCTACACAGTCTTGTGTTGAAGAAATTAAGCTTGTGACTGATGGGTCTAACTACCACAGCAAAAATCCCATCTGCTTAGACTGAAGGTGTCAGAGAAAGAACAAAGGAAAGAAGGCTGTCTACCTCTTGGAATTCTACAGGCAGGAGATAGACCAAAGGGGTTACATCTATTGTCCTTCAAGAAAAGAAAAGGACCATCCCTGGAGCAACTCGAATATCAGCAGAACTGTTGGAAGGAGCATGGGAAGCAAGGCCTTTTCATTTTCAAAGGTTGGGGCCACAACCTTCCAGGTTTCAAAAAATCGAATCTTTGCCTATTTGGTTCTGGAGTGTGGGGCTGCCGTTAAAGTGTGCCAGGTGGATGGGGCCACTGCCAGAAGCTGAGGGGGCAGGGCCACGATGCCCGAGGGGCAGAAGAACAGGGCTGCTGGGGTCAGGGGGTGGGGTTGCCACTCAGATGGACTAGAAGAATGGGGCTATCCAAAGCTGAGAGAGCTGAGTTACCATCTCAGTGGGCCTGGAAGGTAGAGCTGAAGCTCAGGGCTGAGGGGCCTCCACCCAGAATCCCATGGGCATGGCCAACACCCAGAGTCTGGAGGGCGGGGCCACTGCCCAGACGGTCTCACAGAACAGAGGATTATTTTAAAGTCTTGCAAGCTAATGAAAATTGTTCTGCTGGGTTTTGGACTTGCTTGGTGCCCGCTATCTCTTCTTTCCTTCCAGTTTCTCCCATTTGTAGTGGAAGTGTCTACCTTGTGCCTGTTCCACCATCATACTTTAGAAACAGATAACTTGTAATCTAGCTTTCACAGGTTCACAGAAGAAAAGGAATTTTGCCCCAGGATGGAATTCATCTAAAGTCTCACCCATATTTGATTTAGATGATTCAGAAGATGAGATTTTGGACTTGGAGTTGATTTAAGGCTTTTGGGATGATGTGATGAAGTGAATGTGTTTTGTATATGGCAAGGACATGAATTTGGGTGGCCAAAGGATGGAATGTTACGGATTATATCCCCCCAATAATGTGTTGTAAATTCTAACCCCTATGCCTGTGTTTATAATCCTATTTGGGGATGATTTTTCTTTGTGAAGTTAATGAGGCAGGGTTAGTGTAGTGTGGATCTTGGGTCAATCTCTTTTGAGTTATAAAAGAGATTAAACAAACCAGCAGAAGAGAGATGGGGTAAGATAGATGCCCAGACATGGAGGTCTTCAGGGAACCAGGAAGCAGAAGCTGAAGAGACAAGGACCTTCTTCCAGAACTGAAAGAGAGAGAAGGCCCTCCCCTAGAGCCAGAGCTCTGAATTTGGACTTTTATCCTCCTAAGCTGTGAGAAAATAAATTTCTGTTTGTTCAATTCACCCACTTGTGGTATTTCTGTTATACCAGCACTAGATAACTAAGATACCACCCTGCCTAAAATAGTACTTCCTAATATGTATTTCTAATAGAACTTTTCACTAAACAACATATACATGTTTATTACTTGTCTCCCCTCACTAGAATGGAAGTGCCACGAGGGCAATATGCAGAAAAGTACCTATCATATAGTAAACCCATTGCTGTCGAGTCAATTCCGATTCATAGCAACCCCATAGGACAGAGTAAAACTGCCCCATAGGGTTTCCAAGGAGTGGCTGACGGATTCAAACTGCCGACGTTTTCGTTAGCAGCCGTAGCTCTTAACCACTGTGTCACTAGGGCTGTATCATATAGTAGGCACTCAATAAATTCAAAGAAATGAACAAATGAATTGAAAAAATAGGGCATATACTGATTGCATGGATGCTGAGTTTATTCTTCAATCAATAATTATTTATCGAGTGCCTAGAATGTGCCAGGCACTTTTCTAATCTCTGAGGTTACAATAATGAACAAAGAAAAATTCCTGCACTTACAGAGCTTGCATTCTAATAGGATAGGGAGTCAGAAAATAAACATGACAAATAAATGGGTCAGACAGGTAAGACTATAGGACCTTATAGACCACAGCTGTCCAATGGAAATATAATGTGAGCCACATATGTAATTTTTAATTTTCTAAGTAGCCGCATTAAAAAAAGGTAGAAACAGGTTAAATTAATTTTTAATAAACTTTTTATTTTGGAATAGTTTTAGATTTACAGAAAGATTGCAAAGATAGTACAGATCTTTTCCATTTACCCCTCACTCAATTTCCCCTATTGTTAAGATCTTATGTTACCATGGTATATTTGTCAAAATGAAGAAACCAGCATTGGTGCATTACTATTAACTAAACTCCAGACTTTGTTTAGATTTCATCAGTTTTTCGATTAATGTCCTCTATTCTGTTCAAGGATCCAATCCAGGATACTACGTTGTATTTAATTGTCACGTCTTCTCTGGTCTGTTATAAGGTGAAATGAATTTTAATACTATATTTTAGTTAAACCAGTATATCCAAAATATCATTTCAACCTGTAATCAATATTTTTTAAATTATTGATAATGTATTTTACATTATTATTTTCATAGTTAAGTCTTAAAAATCCAGTATGTATTTTACACTTATATCAAATTTGGATGCTTTCGTGGAAAGTACTCTAAATCTACATTTAATTTCATAAAATTTACAATTCAGATAGTAGATTCACATACTCAGGTTGTTCCAAATATACTTAAGAGTTTTCTAATAACTGCACTGAGTATCCATTTTAAAATTTAAACTAATTCTTAATTAAGTTAAAAATTCAGTTCCTTAGACACATTTCAACTACTCATAGCCACATGGGTCTAATGGACCCATTAGCTCGACCATTCTAAGGACTTTGGGCTTTTATTCGGAGCGAAATGGGGAGAGCATTGAAGGGTTTTGAGCAAAGGAGTGACATGATCTAAGATTACTCTGCTGTGCTGAGAATAAATTGAGGTGAGGCAAGGGCAGAAGCTGGGAGACAAGTCAGGCAGAAACAGTAATCTAGGTAATGGTGCTTTGGACTAAAGTGGTAGCAGTGGAACTGGGCAGAAGAGGTAGGATTCCAGATATATCATGTTTTAGAGCTGATTCGATCCAGTGATGGATTGATACGTGGTCAGGGAGGGCACTAAGATTTTTTGGCCTGAAAAAATGATCCATAAAGTTGTATTTTACAGAGAAGGAGATTTTTTAAGAAGCGGGTTTGAGGGAAAAGCTCAGGGGCTCAGTTTTGGACATTTTGAGTTTAAGATGCTTAGTTTCCTAGTGCTGCTGTAACACATTTTCACCAGTGGGTGGCTTTGAAGAACAGAGTTTTATTTTCTCACAGTTCTAGAGGCAAAAAGTCCTAATCGGGGACTTGGCCATGTCGATTCTTTCCTTGTCAGTAGCCTTGGACATTCCTTGGTTCCTTGGCAATCCTCACATAGCACCTGTCTTCCCATGTTCGATTGTGTGTTCGCCCATACGTATATGCGTGTCTACTCTGCCTTTTTCATTACTCATAAGTGATTTAGAATTCATCGTACTGAGGTATCATCTAATTAACATAGCAAAGAAACCCCGAATTCCAAGACAGGATTACATCCACAGGATAGGATTGGAACACATATTTTGGGGGGACACAATTCAATCCATAACAAATGCTTATTAGACATTGAAGTGGAGATGTTACGTAGACAGTGGAGATATGAGTCTGGAGTTCAGGCGAGAGAGCTCAGCTGGAGTTAAAATTTTGGGAGACATCAACATAGAGATGGTATTTAAAGATGTAAGACTGGAGATCACCAAAACAGAGTACAGAAAGGAGTATTAAGGTAAGATTATTCAGCAGTAATATTTTCAGGAAAATGCGAATTTTTTAATCAAGCCCCAAAGAGATCAACAAGAATTGGTGGAATAATGAATTCCTTCCAAGTAAAAGCAGTGTTAGATGCAAAGGTACAGAGATGGGGATTAGCCAACCATGGAACAGCAAATCGTTTTGCTCCGGTGAAGCAAATACATAGCCTGCAGATATGGAAAGATGCGTGAAGTGATGGGTTCCCATGGGTTCCCACGCTGACCAGCTGAGAATGGTAAGATTGTAAGGACAGCTTGTGAATTAACAAGTGACAGCTGCAGTTTCCTACACATATACAAAACCAACCAACCTGTCCTATCATAGCGCATGTGTCATAATGCTGACACAAGAGAGGCGCCTCCTCTGTTCCGCAGATGAAGAGACCGGATCCAGAAACGAACATTGCTTAGCAGCAGTCCTGTACCAGTTTAGATTATTAGGAAGTGCTCTTTCCCTAAAGAAATCTGAGCCCTTATGTGGGGCACACTTAGAGGGGTTTGATAAGAGGAGTTCAGGCAAGGCAACCGTGATGGTTATGTGAATTTTGCAAATTTTTGACAAAGGATAGGGGCTTGGCTTGAAGACGAAGCAAGGAGTCATTTAAAGACAGGGAAAGAATTAACTTGAGAGCTTAAGAACAAAAAGCCTTAAGATTTTTGAGCGGGCAGCAGGGCTGAATGTAGCGCTGTCTGTGAAAGATCCTTTTCTGCCACATCCTCCTTAAGGCCCGGCAGTGAGGAGCCTAAGGACAAAGATGTAAGGTGTCAGTGGGGATGAAGGGTCGAGTCACGGTGCATCTTTTAGTTCTTCGTGCTAGAAGACCACCATCATCATTAGGAGCAGCCGTCCCCGCCCCATTTCCTCTCGCCAGATAGCTCTCCCCGGGAGTGGCTCTCTCCTTAGCAAAATCAGGCCTGGTTAAACTGGAACGTGCGGGAAAACAGGCCGACTGGCGCTTTGGGAACGCCCAAAAACACTGCGCCACGCCAGGCCCCACCCGGGCAGTTCACTGCCCTGAGCGGGGATCTCCAACCGCAGAGGAAGGGGTGGGCTGACGTACACGCGCCAATCGAGACTGACGCTTTCACGTGTCTTGCTCCAGCCAATAGGAGGCCGTAGCGACAACAGCAGGGAAATTCAAACGTGTTTGTGGGTGAGGGCTTGGGTTCCATCTTTTATTCTCCTTAACTCTGCTTGCTGGCCATGAGTTCTGCCTCGCGGACGCACGGAGGAACGGCGGCGGCCGGTGTGTGGGCGCTTTATCGGCGCGGGTCGGTGAGGGATGGGTGCGAGGCAGGGGCGGTTCGGAGCCGGGTAGGCCGCGCCAAGACCAGCTGGAGGGGCAAGGGAGGTCTGGCTGCCTCCTCCCTTCCGTTGGTCGGTGCAAGAGATTTTGTTGAGGACCCAGGAAGCAAGAGGTGGGTGTGAACCCCGCTGGGGAGAGGGCCTCGGCGGGGCACCTGGAGAGAAGCTAGGGACACGGGATCCTCTCCCAAAAGACACTATATCTCATGTTCGGTAGAGTTAGAACGGGGAAAGGAAGTGGTGGGCGTGTTCTGACAGTTACCTTTCGAACCCGACTTCTGAGGTGGGATGATACTTTGTTGCCCAGCTTTATCGCCGTTTTCTCATTGGGCGATCGAGGAAATCAGTGACTGGATTCATGTTTGAGAATCGCAATGATGAGATTGAGAGGAAGGAAGACTAGAGACGTTTGGGTGACCAAACATCACGATATGCAGATGAGCAAGTGCACAGTACTATACGAGTACAGTAGATTCTTAGTATTAGAATGATTAGAATAATAAATCATGATTCTCCCAGATATGCACACGAACAAACCTGCTGAAACACTATTTATCAACAAGGTGCTTTGATGGTGTGTTATGCTCTACTTTGAAAGCGCTTACAATGTGAAGATTTACTCACATAAAGCAGATGAATAAAAGAATGGTTATTCTAACTACCAAAAGGATTCTTTATTTCTCTGTGATACTGCTGAATCCAAGCAAACACTCTATCACGTTTTTAAAAATATGAATGAATTTGCAGATAGATGAGCCGAGAAAATAATTACAGAAAAAGAATAAAGAGAAAGCATTCAGTGAGTAGAAGAAAATTTAAAGGGGGCCAGCAGTTTCTGTGTTGTACAATGGCCGAAATTTAATTGAGAAGAAAAACATATACATGGTCTATCTGGAACCTTGCTGTATCAGTTACAAAGACGTATACTTTTTTGTGTACATAGCTCCACAAATACTACCCAGATAATATATGAGTTTACATGTGTTCACAAAAATAATACTTTAGAGCCATCTGCATTCTAAAAGGCTAGTTTTGACATTTCTCTCCTCCTTTTGGTGCTAGTGTAAATGAGAATGATGACTAAGTTTGATGTTTTTTTCCTTAGAAATGGAGGCTGAAGATTTAAGTAGCAGAGAATTGACAATTGATTCTATAATGAACAAAGTGAGAGATATTAAAAATAAATTTAAAAATGAAGACCTTACTGATGAACTAAGCTTGAGTAAAATCTCTACTGATACGACAGGTGAGATTTTCTTTTAAAGTAATAACATTATTGAGTGCCCTCTAAGGTAAAGGAATGGCATATTAACCACTGTCACATAATGTAATTTTCTCAATAATTGATAGTTATCTATTACAGTACCAGCTTTATATTTTAACCATTTATGTGGAAACAGTCCACAATTTTCTGCTATCTTACAAAAGGAAATTTTAACATCATTTATTGCAGTGTGCTCAGATGGCGTTTTCTTAACTCTTCCATTATTGTCAGCTGTCATTTCTGGTAGTGTGCCTGCCATCAATAGATATACCTTTTTCCCTCCGTTTTTTGCTGTAAACTGAGAAAACCTCACAAATCTTAATAAAACTGTGTATAAATGTCACATGCTCAATTTTTTATTTGGAGAATCTTCCTTTTACTCCCGTGGTCTTTTTTCCTATTGTCCCTTTCTCACTCTGCTGCAGCCACAGTGACTTTCCTGATGTCTTCTTATATTCCAAACCAGCTCCTACCCCAAGGCCTTTGCCCTTGCCCTTTGCTGGAACACTGTTCCCCAGATTATCTGCCCACTCTCTCAACCCCTGCAGGTCTTTGTTCAAATGTCATCTCAGTTAGGCCTTCTCTCACCTACCTATTTAAAATAGCAGCCTGCAGGAATAGGGATGGGTTCCCTATCTTCCCTCTCTGTATTTTTCTCCATAGCACTAATCACCTTATATATAGTTTACTCATGTGTTTTCATGTTTTCTGTCGCCTCTGCTAGAATGTGAGCGCCGTGAGGGCAGGGTTGTTAACCTGTTTTGTTCACTGTTATAGCCACAGAGCTTAGAATGGTGCCTGGCACTGAAGTATTTATTGACTGATGAGTGAATAGAAGTGCCCAAAGTTTAAAACCCTTGCTTTGTAGAAGATATTAGCTCAGAAGCCTAATTCTTTACTATATTTCAAATTGTTGCGGTCATTTGAAAAGTGACCTTTGGATAAATAAATACTAACCATCGAATGGACAAGGGATTAAAAATAAATGGAAGAACCTGTAATCCAGTCAGATTTGCAGACCACTTTCCCTTGAAACAACCTAGAAACTGATACTTTGGTGTTAAGCAAAGTCTTCATACTCTAATGTGTGTATTCAAATAGCTCTAACAAAGCATGTACACCAAGGTAGATGAGTCCTTATTTATATCCCATTTATCCTTAACCAGCTGCTGTCAAGTTGATTCTGACTCATGGCAGCCCAACGTGTGTCAGAGTGGAACTGTGCTTCATAGGGTTTTTAATGTTTGATTTTTTGGAGATAGATCACCAGGCCTTTCTTCTGAGGGGTCTCTGGGTGGACGCAAAGCACCAACCTTTCATTTAGCAGCCAAGGGTGTTAACCATTTGCACTACCCAGGGCCTCCTATTGATCCTTGTTATTGTTGGGTGCCATTGAGTCAGTTTTGACTCACAGCAACCCCAAAACTGTATACACTTACAATATATTGATAATTGCAATTTAAGACATTGTATTAAGTATTGAGGAAGATTCAAAGATGGTTTTCTTTCTAAATAAGGAGAATTTATGTATGTTGTATGCTACATTGCTGGGCATCATGTGAATACTAACCCAATAAAGACAAATGCTGTACATGTTGAATAGAGGAAGAATAGAATTTGAGGCGTAAGGAATATATCTGCAAAGACACAGATGGGAAAATGTGTTTTGTAGACATTTTACAGGCTAATTTGTTAGGAAAGCAGTAGGAGCAAAACTGGAAAATGAAGCTAATATCAGACCAGATTAAATTTAAAATGAAAGAGCAAAGTTGTGAATGTACTATGTTTTGGTAGAAAGCAGAGATGGTAATTTTGTTTGCTAAAGGTTTAGCCTTTGTTAAAAGTAACTGAAACTGATACAATGATAGTTTCTCTGAGAAATCTTGAGTTTAGTAATGTTTCCTGAACCGACTCAATGGCACCTAACAACAGCAATGATGTTTACTAATAACTAAAATATCCTGAATAGGAGACTAACAATTTGTATTATCTTTTTAAAACCACTACAGGAAATAAGAAGTACATTACAATGTGAAAATTATGTCTGGAGATGATTGTTATTTCTGTCGGTGGGGGTTCCACAGAGAGAAAATAGACAGGGACATAGGTCCTATAAAATTCTGCATGGCAGACCACAGTGGTAAAGATGTGGGTTGGATTAGAAGTGAATGCAAGTCAAATAGTTTGGTGATGGATGAATGTGGGTAGTAGGAGGGGCATAAAGAAATGGCTGTGAGTTTGTGGGACCGTGCATTTGGCAGAGCCTCTAAGAGAAATGAAAGAGCCCTGGTAGCACAGTGGTTAAGCACTTGACTGCTAACTAAAAGGTTGGTGGTTCGAACTCACATGCCACTCTGCAGGAGGAAGATGTGGCAGTCTGCTTCCGTGAAGATTACAGCCTTGGAAACCCTTTGGGATAGTTCCACTCTGTCCTATAGGGTCACTATGAGTTAGAATCAACTTGATGGCAGTGGGGTTTGATCTAAGAGAAATATAACTTGGAGAGAGAAGAAAATGATCATATGAGCTGCTTATATTTGTAAAACTTTTTTTTTTATTGTTCTTAAAACAAGTTTGAGGTATATGGAGATACTGTTCCATGGATGAGGTTGTACAGAAGGTTATGTTGGGTCTGGAGTAACAAGTTTCTAAAATTTTAATTAATAAGTCATAAATCAAGAATTTTCCAGGAAAATTGGTACAGGTGATGAGAAAGTCTCAGATTTTCTTTGGATAGTTAGGGTGAAAAAATACTATAATTATGCTGTCACAGCATGAAATTTTCTTAAATTTTTATGTATAAAATTTAAGTATAATCTCTTTATCCAGGCTTTTAAGATCCTCTATCTCACCTTCATTCTACTTTTTAAAAATTTGAGGTATTACTGTCTATCAACACCACTGCACATTTTTTACATCTTTAGAACACATAAATATTGAAAATCTCAAATTGCATATGGCTTTTTTTAAAACTACTTGTAAAAAAATCTCTTTCCAAATTTTTTCTTTCCTTCAAAAAACATAGCTCTTTGGAGTAAAATATGCCCTCATAAAAATATATTTGCAGTAAATAAGTTGTTTATATTTATATGAATTGTTAAGGTTTTAAAAAAAGTATTTCCAGGAGTTTACATTGATACTGAGAGTACAAATACTTAACTTTAATTTGAGGGAAAAGTGTGATTTGGCATTTTGTTTTACATCTTGCTTCTGTTGTGATATATTTTTTCTCATTATTCAGATAACTCGGGAACTGAACACCAAATTATGATGATGGCAAATAACCCAGAGGACTGGTTGAATTTGTTGCTCAAACTAGAAAAAAACAGTGTCCCCCTAAATGATGCGCTTTTAAATAAATTGATTGGTCGTTACAGTCAAGCAATTGAATCACTTCCTCCAGATAAATACGGCCAAAATGAGAGTTTTGCTCGAATCCAAGTGAGATTTGCTGAATTGAAAGCGTGAGTATTGGTATTTTAACTACATTTAACCAATTATATTGCATAATGCATAACTATAAAGAGGTAGATTGAAAACATGTTGTCAAGATTGCTTGTAAGAAAACATATACGTGTTTATTTATCTATATAACCAAATCCTTTGCTTATAATTAACAAGAGATTAATGTAAACTCTCTTTACTATGTACATGGTTCCACAAAAGTTACATATTCTGGACTCTGCCTAGGAAGAGTTTAAAAAATAACTTTTTGACATTTAATTTTACACACAAAGAAAAGCAACATCCTATGTCTTTTGGAAAATAGAACAAGGAGTTATCAAACTTAGATAGCTCTGTCCTTTTTCTTAAAATTTGACTTTGAAATTTTTGTTACAATATTTTACAGTATTCAAGAGCCAGATGATGCACGTGACTACTTTCAGATGGCCAGAGCAAACTGCAAGAAATTTGCCTTTGTGCATATATCTTTTGCACAGTTTGAACTATCACAAGGTAATCTGAAAATGTCAAGTCTAAATTTTAAATAAAAGATAGTTTCCTATGTAACTAAATTCTAATATTAAATATATGAAGTGGAAATTTGAGGCAAAGGCATTAAAGTTGATCAGATAAGAATATGGCGGAAGAACGCCATCTAAGGATAAATGTAGAGGATATTCATTACACTAGCTCTTCCACTTGTTAGGTGTGATAAAGGGAAATAAAGCATGCTCATCGTGTTTGTGCTGTTAGTTAGATTCAGGAAGTGGCTAAAGGAAAGTAGCTTCTTCCCTGAGTATTTGTGGGATGAAGGACATAAGTCATCTAAGCTAGAACTTAGATAAGCTTATTGTATGTTTTGGTTTCATAGCACCAAAATATACATTAAAATATACTTGTAGCATTCATTAATTGGTAGTCGTCCTTTAAAGAAAAGTAAACCACTGTAGAAGCTTATATTTCTTATCACTTCGTTCTTAGTAATGTGAAGCTTTTGGGTAAGACCAGAGCAATCTGTTCCTCAGACGTTTTTAGCCAGTTTGGCCATTCCTTACTCTCTTCTCTTTTTTTCGTTTTATTTACTAAGGCATCTGGCTTCACCCTCAGTCTGCCTTCTGACTGTGTGTTTCTGTTTTCCCTCTGCCTTGTTCTGCCCCAACCCTGATCCCATTTACCACCAGCAGTATATACATTGTCAGTATCGCTCTGGCTCAGCCAGAACCCCCATGATAGTGGCCAAAGCAAGCCTCAGTTACTGGAGAGTAGTCCCCAGGATTAAAGTTAGAGAAAAGCACTGGGCACGCTTTGAGAACCCTGAACTTCTACCTATTCAGATAACGTCCTGTCTTAGTCATCTGGTGCTGCTATAACAGAAATACCATAAGTGGATGGCTTTAACAAAGAGAAGTTTATTCTTTCATATTCTAGTAGGCTAGAAGTCCAAATTCAGGGCATTAGCTCCAGGGGGAGGCTTTCTCTGTCTGTCAGCTCTAGAGGAAGGTCCTTGTCATCAGTCTTCCCTTGGACTAGGAGCTTCTCCACACAGGAACCCTGGGTCCAAAGGACATGCTCTACTTCCGGTTCTGCTTTCTTGTTGGTATGAGATTCCCCTGTCTCTCTGCTTGCTTCTTTTATACCTCGAAAGAGATTGGCTCAAGACACAGTCCAATCTTGTAAATTGAGTCCTGACTCATTAACATAACTGCCTCTAAGCTTGCTTCATTAACATCATACAGATAGAATTTACAACACATAGGAAAATCACATCAGATGACAAAATGGTGGACAGTCACACAGTACTGGGAATCATGGCCTAGCCAAATTGAGACACATATTTTTGGGAGACACAATTCAATCTATGACATATCCTAATTCTAGTAAGCTAAATTATCTTCTCCGATCTATCCTGTGTACCATCAGTTAACTAAGTTTTAAAAATCATCCCTTTCCTACCTAGAAAAAAAAATTCCTCCTTCTTGCTTCTTATGTTGTTGTTAGTTGCTGTCGAGTCAATTCCAACTCATGGTGACCCCATGTGTACAGAATAGAACTGCTCCATAGGGGTTTCAAGGCTGTGATCTTTCAGAACCAGATCGCCAAGCCTGTCTTCCGAGGTGCCTTTGAGTGGGTTCAAACTGCCAACCTTATTTGGCTGGTAGTTGAGTGATTATCAGAAATTGTTTGCACCACCCGGGGACTCCTTCTAAGTATAATCTCTCTGTCCAGGCCTTTTAAGACCCTCTACTCACCTTCATTCTACTTTTAAAAAATTTGATGTATTACTGTCTACTGTATATCTTGTAGAATACATAAATATTGAAAATTTCAAATTGCATTATCCTTTTTTTTTTTTTTTTTAACCTATATACCAAAAGGTAGTGGTGGCCTCAAGGTTAAAATTGTGATTTTGAGCAGGATTAATAGATAGGCTTCCATGAAATTTATAACATCCCTGAAGTCCTAGGCACAGTTTTGTGCATATGTGTATTTTTTAGGGGTGTGTAAAAATGGTGTGGCGTCAGACCTCCTTGTCTAATTTCAGGAGCAGGGAGAAGAATCAAGATCAGCAGTCGCAGCCCAAAGCTGACTCCTATGAGGTGGTGGTCAGACATAGCTCCACCCTCCAACCCTTTTTACCAATTCTGACACCAGTCAACCCTCCTGTGGCACTCTCTACTTCTCTGCTGGGTTCGATAATTCATCACAATGGCCACACAGAACTCACAAACCAGTAATACTCAACAATTATGGGGTTTATTAGGGAAGTAGCAGGTTACAATTCAGGATCAGGATCGACTTGGAAGTAACAGGAACAACTGAGGATACAGTTCTTCGATCAGGACAGCTTCTCAGCTGTGCCAGCAGGCTGGCCTCTCAGTCCTTGCCCCTCGGTCCTCAGCCTGGCGTCTGCCCTCCTTGGGCAACTGTTACAAAGCCTTAGTTCGGCCAATAAGTGCCTGGAGGTACCCTACTCCTCCAGGAAGCCTCCTGCCCAAAGGCAGTCAGCTCTTTTGCTCCTTGGGTTGGCAAGCCAGCCTTCTGATCCTGTGCCACTATTGTCTCACTACGATCTTAAGTGTTACGGCTCTCTGTCTGTCTGCTGGGTCTAGGAGGTTCTTGGCACAGGGACATCAGGTCTAAAGAATGTACTCTGTTCCCAGCTCTTCTTCATGGTAGTAAGGTCCCCTACAAGGGTTACATGACCTTATTTGCATGGTCCCATTCCCACAAGGGTTCCATCCACCTTGTTTGCATAATTCAACCCAATCATTTTGTGGGAGTTAGAAGACCATGACTAGAAGGGCATGTAGTAATTTATTGCACTGGAGGACATTTCATAATTCTTATTAGATTCTCAAAGCTGTCTATGACCTTAACTGATAAGCCCCCAATTGCTAGTTCTTATCTTAAGACTTTCTCCCTTCCTTTGTTGTCCTAAAATACTCAGTATATGCAGTTTTACCAATATTCAATGAATGTGAACTTAATCACTATCAAATGTATACATATATAGTCTCAAAATGTCTAAACTGTCAGAAGCCAGAGGCCATATCATAATCATCTGTCTACCTCCAGTGTATAGCATAGTCAGTGGTTCCAGTAAAGGTTGATATGTATTCCCATCAGATATATGATGTATACATTTAATACTTGTAAATCAAATATTAGATAAATATACTGGATAAGTTTGCTGCTGAAAGAAAATTTCTTTGGTAGTCTATCTGTAGTCAGAAAGGTAATTTTGTTATTTTGGGAGTGGTGTGACTAAGTCGTAGCTAAAGATTAATCTTTATCATTACTGTTTTGTTTACACGAATGCTTTTGATGGAGAATTCCTGTTAGCAAAAGGTTTCTGACTTTGGTTGATGATCTAAAGTCATTATGAATGACGATATTATTCTGTGTTGTGACAGATTGATGCTCTTAGGACTATTGTAACATCTAGGGCTTAGACCTCCCTTTCACTAAATTCCTCAGGTTTCTACTGTTCTAGTTGGCCTTTGCTGTGTCTTCTGTAACTAAGTGTAGCAAAAGTTACACTTCTGTCACTTCTGAAATGGGCAGTAGTAACAAACTAATGCAGAATTACATATTGCACAAGGAAATCATTTGATGTGAACTGTTATCAGAAGAGTTGATTTACGGAAGTGAGAAATTTCTTATTTGCTTATGGAATAAAGTGCTTGAACTTTGGGATAAATTTTGTTGCCTAAACCTTTTTAATTTTTCTCCCAGGTTCTGATGAATAAGTGACTGGGTGGGTAAAGATTGCTGCATTAGAATGACATTTTCTTTTCACTTTGTTAGGTAATTTTAAAAAAAGTAAACAACTTCTTCATAAAGCGATAGGATGTGGAGCAATACCAACAGAAATGTTGGAAATTGCCATAAAGAATTTAAACCTCCAAAAAAAGGAGCTGCTTTCAGAGGAAGAAAAGAAGAATTTATCAGGTAAACATATTAATGTGCATTGATATTTTTCTGTGATAGATAGTGCTGCAAATAAGGATTCAGGGTAATATTTTACAGGAAAATATCATTTATGTAAAATGCTCAATACTTTAGCTTAAATTCTAGTTGTAACAGAAAAAAGTCTTTTAGAAGTAACTTACTACTCTATTGAAATTTAACATTTTTTTCTTGCTAATCAAACTCCTGTTGATAGCACATTAAAAACAACTCAAGTGAGAGAGTGACATTTTGCTTTTAGAAATAGAGAATTGCCAATTACTGTAGGGAAACTTTTCCGTAATTAAAGAGAATTTGAAGTGATAGTGAATTATCTTAACATCTTTATGTCTGCATATTTTATTTGGGAACAAATATTTACTTTGAATTGACTTTTTAAATATTCCTATTTGTGAGATTTTTTAAAAATATATTCCTTATATCCTTACACATTTGACTGATTTAAAAATTTTTACAGTATCCACAGTTTTAACTGCCCAAGAATCATTCTCCACTTCACATGGACATTTACAGAATAGGAACATCAATTGTGATTCTAGAGGACTGGCTACTAAGCCCAGGTTTTTATATGGGTAAGGAAATGGAATCAGTTTTTTAAATGCACATTATACATTTATATTTATATGTATGCATAGATATATGTTTTCATGTAACAGTGATAATAATGTTTCGCAATAGAGTGGAAATACATATGTTAATATTATTCTTTGAAAAATTGGGGATTTTTTTTTTTCTGTTTAGAGAGAACATGCCCCCTCAAGATGCAGAAATAGCTCATTTCAATCCTTTGAAACAAATAAACAAAGCCAAACAGGCAAGTTATTTTCAATCTACTCTGATTAAGCTGGTGGTGGTGAGGTCTTTGTTTATTTTCTAGTTGGTTACCTAATTTTTTCAAAACATTTTTAGTCATGCCCGTTTGGAAGAGTCCCAGTTAACCTTCTAAATAGCCCAGATTGTCATGTGAAGGTGAATGGTTCAGTTGTACCAAGTTTTACAAAAAGGTATGTATGAGTTTTGATTTTTTAATTGTTTTCACTACTTGAAGATTGATGGCAGAATGGTCTTAAAATCTTTTACTGGGTAATAGTAATTATTAAATTTTCATTCAGTAGGAAAAGCTACAGAGTCTAAATGCTGTCAGGAACAAAGGAATGAGTGATGAGTGAAGAAAATGATTTTATTTTGCTTTTTTACTTATTTAAAATACTCACTAAAGGAACTATCTTAAAAATTAGGAAACATGGAGGAAAAATAACTAAGTCAATATGAAGCTTAGAAAACTATGCAGACATCCCTGGGGTAAAAACGCCTGATGTTGGAGTATTTCTTACTTATGGGTAGCCTCACTGGTAGAGTTTCTCCCTGCTCTGTATGTGAGTCTCCATAGCAGAGGTCAAGGGAGCGCTGGTAACAATTTCTTTTTTTCAGCTAGTTCAAGGAGAAAAGCAGCTATCAGTGGGAAAGATAATTCATTCATTCATTTGCTTCGGGAGCCTAGAGCTTCAAGAAGTAAGGCAGGGTGGGTATAGATGAATTATTGTTCATCACACATAATGTGATCACCTTCCCCCAATTTGGGTGTTTTTTACCTTAAAAGAAATGGGAATGTAGTATTTTAGTTCAGCTTAGGGAGAGAGCTTTTCTGGTCTAGTCTTAACCCTGATCACTATAACATGATTTTTATTGGAAAAGGCTCCTTTGATTCCAGAGAATCATTTTGCAAGTAAACTTTAGAAACACAACTGAATTTTTTTTTTTAAGTTGGTATCTTCTATAATTAAATTCCTGTTTTACTTAGGGTTTGACTAAATATCACTCTTACAAGAGCATTTTGGTTGTCAAAGTTAAGCCCAAAAACCTTATGAGGTAACTATTATCTCATCTTGTTTATCTCTATTTTAAGAACTTAGCTGAAGAATAACAGTGTCTCCCACTGCAAACAAAAAACAAAAACCGGTCATTTTCCTGGTGCCTGTTGTGATAGACATTATGATAGGCACTGTGAGGCCCACAAAAGACTTCATACCCTAGATATCATTCAGCTACTTATAGTCTGAAATGTAGTTTCACCTACATATTGCTTTTCCTTTCCCACATCATACCTTAACTCTAGGTGTTACTTACGTAATGAAGAAGTAGGCTGTCGCAGTGGCGACGGTTGTCGGGGCGGCGGAGACAATAACCAATGCCACAACTCTTACAGAGAAGTGGGGCCAGGAGGGTCGCTCTGAGGAGTCGAACCCCAGCTTCAGTCCCAGGAGTTTATTTATAGTCAATACAGCAAGCAGTGAAGCAAATAACAGAACGATGGGCTTTGGGTGAATAACAATAAGTTTCGGGCAAGGGAGAATGGACTTCAGGTAAACAAGCCAATCAGTAACGGATTTGGAAAAAGAAGTCGTGACAAGTCTCAACATGTTGAGGACAAGTCTCGACATGCTGTGCAGCATAGACGCCTTTATACATCCATATTTTAATGGCACATGTCCCCACCGTAGGCAATCACTAATCCCTTTATTTCATCACTTTTCTCATCATCCATTATCTAATTTTTTAGCATAGTCGCATTTGTACTAAAATCATGCCATTTTTTAAAATGTAGCCTTAAGAAGTTTTTTCAGTTAAAGTGTGTATTGTTAAAATTCCAATTTTCAAAATGAAAAAAATTAATTCATTGGAAGGGTTAATTTTAAATTAGGTACTTTGTTTTGTGGGTAATAGACAGATCTCTGGATCAGAATGCCGAGATTTGAGTGTACCTGGATCTAAATCAAGTGGAAATGATTCCTGTGAATTGAGAAATTTAAAGGTATTTCAATTTTTAAACCATTATATGCAGCAAAGGTTTCTGATGCAGGCTCCATGAAGCTTTTCTGGGTAAAGGGTCAACAGTTTATATGATATCTACAACAGTGTTCCTGATGCCGCAAGAGGTACAGGACCACCAATGGGAAATGGTGTAAAAGTGCTAAATGATTTCTCTAAGACTAAGGTGGTAGAGAAGTTATTATGTATATTTGTAAACAAGTTAGTTGACCTAGGTTTGGTGATAATTGGGGGAGCCCTTCCCCTAGGTTTTGTTTGCTTGTCTGTTAAACCATCTAATTATGGGCAAGGCATCTTAGACAAAAGTATGAGAGTAAACTGGTGAAGGGCAGAGGTCAGGGCTTAGATAATCAACCCTGACCTCCTGATAATGGCAGAGCAACTTTGTATGAACTCCAAGACGAGAAACAATTATAGTCCCTGGAGCACTTTGATTTTGTATTGTACTTGAGTTCATCCCTTGGCATCATGATGTGAATCTTTTCGTTTTTATATTCTTTGTAATGTCTATCTCTTTGATGGTTTATGCTTTAAAATACTACTACAAATACTCATTTTGACTAATACTTTTTTTGATGGATAAAATTACAATCATAGTAAAAAATATACTTAAATTATTCTCGTGTCATAAGGCACATGCTATGTTTGAGTCAAACTTTCTCTCTTTTTAAGTGAATATAATTTAGTACTTGATTAATAGTCCATTGAAAGCACACTGGCCAAATTTATGGTTATGGCCCTTCTTATTGTGGTAATCAGTAATTCAGGAAGTTAATCTTTGCTGTGGGTTTGTGAATCTACATATGATTATACTATATAATTTTCCTAGCAATCTTTTCACACTGATGAGGCTTCAGTATATTGAATAGTAAGACAAATTAGTACTGCTACTGTTTATGGGACTTTATTTGTTATCTTGTTCTTTTCATGGAGTCTCTTCAGAGTATCCATTCCAAGGAGCATCTGCTGTCAGATGAGAAAAGTTCTGAGCTTACTGCAAATTCAGTAACCCTGAAGAATAAAACTGAATCAAGTCTTCTAACTAAATTAGAAGGTAAGAGCGATAAAATAAGTGGGCTTCTTTAATTAAGAAAACCACTTTTTTTGCTTGAGAAAGCAGATAAGCCACCTAAGAATTGCATTGTAAGAATGTGTCTGTGTACCTTTATCTTTGTATTCCAGTTGAATTATACAGAATGTATGAAAAGTATTATATCCTGTAGCAAAGAAAGTTTATTTGCCTAAAACTTGCATAAAGTTGCATAGAGAAGGGAGAGTGCAATGGAGCTGAATTATTTTTCTTAGTTAGCTTGACAAATATTCTTTCTGGAAAGGACACCGAAGCTCTATTTATATAACAACCCTCCGTTTCCTCTTTTACCAAACATTTGATTTTCCAGTGTGTGAGTACTATGATAAATGCTCTTAAAAAAAACTGAACCCATTGCCGTCAAGTCGATTATGACTTATAGCGACCCTATAGGACATAGCAGAACTGCCCCATAGAGTTTCCAAGGCTGTACTTTTTATGGAAGCCGACTGCCATTTCCTTTTCCCGCGGAATTGCTGGTGAGTTTAAACTGCCAACCTTTCAGTCAGCAGCCGAGTGCTTAACCACTGTGCCACCAGGGCTTCTTTATAAATCCTCTTTTGTTGTTAGGTGCTGTCGAGTCAGTTTCGACTCATAGTGACCCATAGGGTTTCCAAGGAGCAACTGGTGGATTTGCACTGCTGACCTTTTGGTTAGCAGCTGACCTCTTAACCACTATGCCACCAGGGCTTCAATATAAACTATATATATATATATATAATAAATACATATGCTCTAGGGATATGTAAATGAATGGGACAGGATCCCAAGGAGGTGCGAGTGTGGGAGATAGGCTAATAAATATAATGCTGGATAGAGCGTAGAGAGTATAATGAAAAGCACATAAATAAAATGCTATGAGAATTCAAAGGAAGGAGAAATTTAAGGATCTAGTTTGGTTTAGGGAAAATAAGGAAATATTTTGTGGAAGAAACGAGATTCGAAGAAGTGTTAGGACTTAAATAGGGAGAAATAGCAGTAATAAGAATATTTCCAGTGGAGAGACTGGCATAAACAAAAGAATAAAATGTTTTAGGAATGAGATGGTCCAGTAACACTGAAACCTGTATAGAAGTGAGAAATAATACTAGGTTGACTTTGAATGTGAAACTTGAATTTTTATTTTTTAGATGACAGAATACCATTAAAGATATTTAAACACAATCATGAATAGGATGATCATTGTTCAGACAGGTTGCCAGATGGGATGTAATTTTTTTTTTTTTTTCCGTTAGGACTGAAGACGAATTTAGGGACAAGGTTAGGTTTGCCCCGAATTTGTTATGATGTGCCCGGTACTTTCCCAGTTTTTGCCCTGAAAGTTGTGAATCCCAGGGAAGTCTTCAGTCCTGAGCAAATTGGGACAATTGGTCACCCTAGAATAGTCTTTTTGCTTTTATTTTGATTGGAAACAAATTCCTATTCCTAGTATTAGGAGAAACTATTTATATTTTAATGGTGTCTTATTATAAACTGATATGATTGAGAAATCATTATCAAATGTGCTGGTTAATAGTACTCATCCAACACCTAATTTGTTTTTAATTGAATGCTTGTTGAGTACCTAAAGTATGCCAATAATACTTTTTTATATAGTAAACATACAGTCAGAAAAGTGCCCAAATCATAAAAATATAGCCCGATGAAATATCACAAGTGAATACATACTTGTAACCAATACCCAGATTAAAAAAATAGAACATTACCAGCACTCTAAAACCTCCTCAAACCCTCCCAATAAATACCCTCTCTCTCTTCTCAAACATAATCACTATTCTGACTTCTAACACCATACATTAATTTTGCCTGTTTTTTAAACTTCATAGAAATGAAATAACAGTACGTGCTCTTTTGTGTGCTTTTTTTGCTCACTCATACACACACACACACACACACACACGCATATATATTCTACCTAAATTTAACATTCGTATATGTTTAAGATCAAGGATCAAGATTCTTTTTTTTTCCCCCATGTGGATATCCAGTTGACCCAGCAGCATTTATTGAAAAAAATTTTCTTTTCCCCCCACTATTGGAAATTAGGTGATTCTATATGTGGTGTCTGGTTTTGGATTCTTCATTCCATAGTTCTTTTTGTCTTTGTGCTAATACTGTCTTAATTACTGCAGCTTCATAAGTGTCAATATCTAGTAGTGTAAATCTTTCAACTTGTTTGCCTTCAAGCCTATTTTGGCTACTCTAGGCCTTTTGAATATCTATAGAAGTATTAGAATCCATTTGTCAAGTTTTCACTAAAAAAATGGAATCTTGATTCAGATCTAGTTGAATCTATAAAGCAATAGGTGGCATTATTGTCTCCTTATTTTAAGGGGAAAGCTTGTAATATTTTACCCTTGCTATGATGATTGCTATAGATTTTTGTAGCTAGTCTTTATCAAGTGAGTTCTATTTTATACCTAGATTACTAATTGTTTGTTTTTGGTGACTGGATGTTAAGTTTATCAAATGCTTTTTCTGCATTTATTGAGTTGATCATATACCTTTCTTTATTCTGTTATTATGATTAAAAACATTGATTTTCAAATGTTAAGCCAATTTGTATTTAGGAATAAATCCAAATTAATTGTAATTTATTTTTTCCTTTTTTATATTACTAGCTAATATTTTCTTTAGGATGTTTGCATCCATGATCAAAATAGATAAGCAGAATAGAATTTTAATGTTCATTGAATAGTAAATATATTATTGAGACTCTTTTGTTCATAGATACTTAGGAGTAAATTACAGGCTGGTATAGGGTAAAATTTTTTATGTTGAAACACTAGTCTATGAAAATGGTACATTAGCTTCTCTTTATTATTAAGATTTATAACATATAAAATATATTATAAAATTTTTACTTTTGTGCTTGTTTACTAGTAAAGACTAGAGGGATTTAAATCCAGACTGGTCTCTGACAAAATTCTAGGTCAGAACTCAGGAAGGTGGCTATGTTGCAAATTTATAAAACACGTGTTAAGGGCGGATTGTCAGCATGTGGCCTAAGGCTTTTAGTTTTTATTTTTTAGAGCAGTTTGTAACATGTTCTGTTGTTAGGTTTCACTTTGTTATCAAATATTATTCTTCCCTTTTAATAACAACAAATACAATTTCAGAAACTGAAAGACCTCAAGAACCAAAGGTTTCAGAAAGTAACCAGAAACAATGGCAATCTAAGAGAAAGTCAGAATGTGTAAACCAAAATCCTGCTGCATCTTCAAATCAGTGGCAGATTCCAGAGATAATCCAAATGGTTGAGACAGAGGTAACTTTTCTCCCCTCGAGTATAACATTACCATTGTTTGTAGTGTGTTGCCGAAGTGTGATGGTCATATTAAGTATGTTTTCCTCTTTTATTAAATGCTTGTGCACCATATTTAGGAGAATAGTTTATTTAAAGGAGGTTTTTTACCTTTCACAAAATGATGATCAGTGGCATTCATAGGTTAAGTAAGAGTATATGTCAAGCCAGTTTCTTTTCTATTTTTGATAGTGTTTCTAGATTACTGATAAATTATTGCCGGGGTCAGCAAACTACAGCCAGTGGGCCGAATCTAGCCCACCGCCTTTTTCTGTAAAGTTTACTTGGAACACAGCCCTGCTCATTTGTTTACTTATTATCTGTTACTGCTTTTGCACTGTCACAGTAGAGTAGTTGCATTAGAGATCATATGTCTGGCAGAGCCTAAAGTGTTTATTCTCACCTACAGAAAAAAAATAAGCTAACCGATGAACTAGTGCAATTCTATATAAAAGCATTTGACAATTTATTGTGATCATCCTCATGGTTAAAATAGGAAAATATAGGCTAGACAGTGTGTGTGTTTGTTAACAGTCTGAATGGTCATGCACAGACATTTCAGAAGGAATGATGTGGTAGACCACTGAAGAGCCATACCTACAGTCCATTGCCAACCCCTCCTCACCATTTCTTATCAGTGACTTGTTAAGAAGACAGTAAAAGCGTTATATTTTAACCCGGTGATTTTCAAACAACGGGCCCTGGTGGTGCAGTGGTTAAAGTGCTTGACTGCTAACCAAAAGGTCTGTGGTTTGTACCTCTCAGCCACCTCCATGGGAGAAAGATGTGGCAGTCTGCTTCTGTAAAGGTTTACAACCTTGGAAAACCCTATAGGGCAGTTCTACTCTGTCGTCAAGGGTTGCTATGTGTCGGAATTGACTCAATGGTAGTGGGTTTTGGAGTTCTCAAACATTTTCATCTGTCAGCGCCTTTAAACTCTTAAATGCTACAGAGGCACCTTAACAGCTGTTGTTTATGTGCATTGTATTTATCTGTATTTACTGTATTTGAAAATAAAATGAGACATTTAAAGCATTTATTAAAAAATGACAATAAACCCATTACTTGTGAATTTATGAAAAGTAACTTTTTTGAAAGTTACTTTTTCAAAACAAAGAAAATGTAGTGAGAAGAGTAACACTGTGTTACATTTTTTGCAAATCTCCTTAATGGTTGGCTTAACAGAAAACTAGATTCTTGTACCTGCTTTTGCATTCAGTCTATTGCATTATCATTGTCATATAGCCTCAAGAAAACTCCACTGTATACTCATGAGAGAATGAAAATGAAAAAGGTAAATAATGTCTTAGTATTACTCTGAAAAATACTTCTAACCATCCAGATTCCCTGAAAGACCCCCTACCCTGGGGTTGCTGGACCACACTTTGAGAACTTGATCTAAGTAATGAAGTATATAACAAATGTTAGATGATAAAGATCCTTACATGTTGAATTATGAATGATATTAAACAAGCATCTTCTCTTTTTTATTTTTTAAACTTATAAGTAAGGGGGCTCAAAACCATTTATGTGTCGTTAAAACCCGTTGCCATCAAGCCAATTTCCAACTCATAGTGACCCTACAGGACAGAGTAGAACTGCTCCATAAGGTTTCCAAGGAGCAGCTGGTGGATTTGAACTGCCAACCTTTTGGTAAGCAGCCATAGCTCTTAATCACTGTGCCACCAGGGCTCCTAGGTGTCATTAGGAAATGCAAATGAAAACTGCAATGAGATACCACATTATATCCACTAGGAAGGCTGTGATTAAAAAGAAAAATAATAAAAGTGTTGGTGAAGATGTGAATAAATTAGAACCCTCATATGCTGCTGATGGGAATGTAAAAAGGCGCAGTCACTTTACAAAAAAACTGACTGGCAGTTCCTCAAAAGGTTAAACAGGGTATCATCCTATTTTATTAAACAGTGTCATGTACCTTTCCTCTCCACATGTAATCAGTTTGAGCAGAATGTAATAGACTTCAGAATTTGGAGTGAAAGAGCTCTACTAAAAGGTTATTGGAAGTCTGGAATACATATGCCTACTTGTTTTAGCATGGTTTTATATTTCCTATTTTTATTTCTTATTTGCTTTTAAAAGTTATACTGTTTGTAAAACTATTGTACCAAGTGAGTAATTAAAAAATCTAAATCTTAGTATTTTTTTTTTTTTGGTTTAGCAGAAACATACCACTTTTGAGCAACCTACCTTTTCAGTTTCAAAACAGTCACCACCAATATCAACACCTAAATGGATTGATCCCAAATCTGTTTGTAAGACACCAAGCAGCAATACCTTGGATGATTACATGAGCTGGTAATTACTTTTGTTACTTAGCTTGGGAGGTAGGGTGGTACAGTAGAAATAAAATGGGATTTGGAGCCAAATACATCTGTGGTTGAATCCTGCAGTTACTTGAAAAGTTTTTCAAATTCATGTTTTTCTGTGTCAGTTTCCTCATCTGTAAAAATAGGTGAGGGAAAAGTGAATACAATAATATATATTTTAAGATTGCAAAACTTATTTATAATCATGCATTGCAAGATGGATACCTCTCTGTAACTGAGATATTTTAAAGGTTAGCTTTCTTAGAGCAGATAAAGGGTGGAGAAATTTCATAGCAAAGGAGATACTAACTGGAATGTGATGGTTCCTGGAAGAGGTTGGTTGTATAGTTCACATAGTTCTGGGAGTGTTGGAAGATACAAGATTTGAATGAACGGGAATGAGGGATGAGTAAAGAAATTTGATAGTCTGTGCTGACTGCCAAACAGAAAACACAAGGGGAATATTGCAAAAGCAAACTGATGCCATTTCAAAGAAAGGAAATAAAGGGATATGGCACATCATAACCTTCAACTAGTGGCTATATTTTTAATGTATTTTCAATGTGTTTGAAGATAACTTAGGTCTATGATGGCTTTTTTTTTTTTTTTCACTTTCACAGTATACTTTTTTAGTCTTAATTACAATGGGCCTCAGAAGTTATATAACCCCGCTGTTAACCTGTTTAATATGATTTTGCTATATATTGCTTCATTTTATTATACTTAGAAAATTTTAAAGCATGATTGCTAACTAACATAGTAATATAGTTATTTCTTGTGATATTAGAGTATTTATTTTCAACAGATATTTGTAGAGCTCCTTTGTGCCACGCATACAAGTATGCTCCTTTGTGTCGAGCATACAGTAGTGAACAAGATAAAGCACAGATGTGAACTGGAGAGATGTAAGCACAGCAGCCAAACTCCTTGGATGTAATTGGCACTCAGATATTTCTAACAGACTGTTATAGAACATCATGGTAAAAAGGCCCTCATAAAATCTTTGATCATCCATGTGCTGACCTTTGCCTTGGCTAAATCCTTATTAAAGAAAAACTCCAACTCCATATTTTTAAATGCTGCCCATTTTACTAACAAGGATTTCTTGTCTGGGGACAAAAAATTTACTTTCAGAAAGAATTTTCCAAAATAAAATTTTGAGTGATGATGTATGTAGAATAAGTAAATATTAGCTATATGATAAAAACTGACTTGGCTTCTGTTTGATGTGACACGATTGAATCTACATGGACCTTTTCAAATCACATGTAATCTGAATCAGTGTCTTGTTTTCTAAACTTTAATGTTTTAAATTAAAATAATTTCTTTCCTAGTTTTAGAACTCCAGTTGTAAAGAATGACTTTCTATCAGCTTGTCAGTTGTCAACACCTTATAGCCAACCTGCCTATTTCCAGCAGCAACAGCAGCAAATACCAGCTACATCACTTCAGACTTTGCAGGTTCGATAAACTTTTATTATGTTTAGGTATAATTAATTTCATAGATTTTTTTTTTTTTAATAGTACCTAGTTGTCAGGAAAAGCCTTAAGGACTTGTCTATTCTTATTCCCATTAGGCAAAACTCTTTTCTGATATCCTTATAAGGGTATGCCTTGTGACTTTGAGAGGTTGCAGCTGTTGAACAAGCTAGCGAAGCTTTTCTCATTAATTAGACCAGAAGATCCAGTTTGAGTAGTTGAATAATTTTTCTCTTGTGATCTTGGTATTCGATTTTAACTAATCCAGCTGTTAGTAAATTTCATTGGTTGGTGAATATATATTTGGAAAAATAAATGTTTAAAAATATCAGAATAACAATATGAGATATCTTAGTTTCTCAGTGTTGCTATATCAGAAACACCACAAGTGGGTGGCTTTAATGAACAGAAATTTGTTTCCTCAAAGTATAGGAGGCTAGAAGTTCGAATTCAGGGCACCAGCTCTAGGGGGAGGCTTTCTGTCTCTTTTGGCTCTGAGGTTGGGTTCTTATCTCTTTTCAGCTTCTGTTCCTTGGTTCCTTGGCAATCTCCTGTGGTGTGGCTGTGCTTTCTTGCTCTTGTATCTAATCTGCTGTTTTATATCTCAAAAGTGATTGGCTTAAGACATACTCTACACTGATATGGCCTCATTACCATAACAAAAAAACTTTCTAAATTATATCTATAGATATATGGGTTAGTCTTCCAACCCATATTTTGAGGGGACACAATTCAATCCATAACAAGGTGCTACTAGAGTATATTATAAACTAATTATTCTAAACTAAAAGAAAAAATTATATGTTGATGCCATATGGAGAAGAATTTATGCAGATACTCTCCTAACACCAGTAACTAAATTTAGTTTCTAATATCTATCTGAGAGGCAGCTTAATACTGTTAGAAAGCATGGGTTTTGGAATCAGACTTCCTGGGCATGAATCTTGGCCCTACTACTTAACATCTGGTGTCACCCTTTGCAAGTTACTTAAACTGTCTGTGCTCATTTAGTCTGTGAAATGGGGGTAATAAAAATACTTACCTCATTAAAAGACAAAACAAAAAAAATAAACTTGTTGCCATCAAGTCGATTCCGACTCATAGCGACCCTGTAGGACAGAGTAGAACTGCCACATAGGGTTTCCAAGGAGCCGCTGGTGCATTTGAACTGCCAACCTTTTGGTTAGCAGCCAAATGCTTAACCACTTACCTCATAGGGTTGTTGTAAAGATTAAATTAGTTAATATATGTTTAACTCTTAAAACAGAGTTTAGTAAATAAATAATAAATGTTAGCAGCAATTGTTATTTAAATAAAACCTATGAATAATTAACAATCAAGTGATAAAAAAATTACTTGACAATACATTATACTAAATACAAAAAGAGGTGTTGTTTTTGAGGATTGAAACAGTATAATAAATTACAAAGGAGAAAGATGGTCAGATTTGCCCTACATTCCTACAAAAAAATTTATAAATTATTACTAGTATCAGGTCCTGTTTGAGTTGAAATTTAAAAAGTGAGTCAGAGATGACCAAGTGAAGGAGCTGAGGGAAGCCTAGAAAAGGCCAGTGTTGGGGGAGAACTTAGAAGAGGCCAGAATGTGGCAGGAATAGAAGGACTGGTCTTCAGGGTTCTGCTGGGCCCTTACATTGTACCCTAAGTAAGATGAGAATCTGTGAAAGGGGTTGGAGTATGGAAGTGATGTGACCTGATTTGCATTTTGAAAAGATAATTGGCCATAATGAGGAGGATGGACTAATAGGGGCTGTGGGGTATCTTGTGTAGAAAACTGAACTTCATGGTTTTTTTTAATTGGAAATAAGCCACACTTACTCCTTAAACCATCAGCAGCCAGAGGAAAAGGACACTGAACTGTTTTCTTCCTTCTCAGAAATTTTCAGTTTAAATAGGAAAGGAAGAACAAAGGGAGGGAGCCAGAAAAGGAAGAGTTGGGGGGCACTGATGAAATTACAACTTGAATGAAAAATAGAAAGAGCATATTTAAAGCCTAATGCTTTCTTAAAGAACACATTTTATGACTCAACAGTGCCTCACAACCCTGCAGGTTAAGGATAGTAAGAGCCTTTATGTTTTTATAATAAATGGAAAATTCTATGAGAGGGATTCTGCCATTTGGGCTCTAAAGCAGGACTTAGTTAAACTGAGGGTTTATTCAGACCTTGTTTCAACTTGGTAAATCAGCTAATCAGGAGCTCATTTTGTTTCAGCTTCCTTATCAGCTCAGAATAAGTCCTGTCAACAGCACTCCGTCTGTTCAGAGCATCTATAGGTCCTTGAGAGGTCCTTCACTTTGCAAGATTCTTGGACTGAGTTGGGTTTTTTTTTTTTTTTTTTTTTCATTCGATATTGGGCAAAAGAATCACTGACTTTTCTTAATTACTTAAAATTACACAATTATTTTAAATTTCATATTTGCTCTTTGCAAAAGATTTACATAATTCCACAGTATTGGGAAGCTCTTGAGATAATCCAGGTGAAATAAGATGCTGGTTTAAGACTAGGGGAGTGGTGGTGGAGATGGAAAGAAGTAAATTGGATTGGAGAGGTATGGAAAGTAAAGTAGAAGCAGTAAACAATGAGAAATTCTACTAAAATGTATAACAGGTTTAATAGCTATGCTACTTAACAGAACTTTTTCAAATATAAAAAAAGCTCAAACCATAAATAGCCAAGCTCTTAGAAAAAGAAATATAAGTAGTAAATATATGAGAAAATATTCCATTTTGCTAGTAGTTGGAGAAAGAAGTATCATTAAAAAATATTAGTTTGCCTCCCAAAAACCTTTTTAAAGCTAAAACCCAAGACTGAGCAATCTCTTGGTACTATTCTCTTGGCAATCCAAATTGCTAAATGTGGAACTTTAAATGCGATCCTACACTTTGACCTGGTATACTCACTTTTGGGAATTTATATTAAGGAAATAATTCAAAAGAAAAAAAAATTTTTTGTCGATACACAAAGGTGTTCATTAAACTTTTTCTTAGTCTTGACTCATCCCATACACAATGACACTAATGAGTGAAGAAAAAGAAAAGAAGGCATCTGCTCAAGTCTTTTGTTAGCATCTTTTAAGGTCAGTGTGGAAAAAAGGTAATGGAATTCTGATATATAATCAAGGAAAAAGCAACCTAAACATGCTTTCATTCAAGTTTATTCAGTCTATACTATGTGGTAATCAGTGAAAATACAATAAAAGTGGATGGATGACTCCTGTTTCAAGGAGCTCAGTTATGTAAATGACAGACATGAAAATATAATTACAGTGTGTCTTAGTTATCTTGTGCTGGTATAACAAATATCACAAGTGGGTAGCATTAACAAGCAGAAATTTATTTTCTCACTGTTTAGGAGGCTAGAAGTCTGAATTCAGGGCGCCATCTCTAGGGGAAGGCTTTCTGTCTCTGTCCACTCTGGGGGAAGATCCTTGTCTATTTTCAGCTTCTCTTTTTTGGTTCCTTGGTGATCTTCATTTAGCATGGCATCTATCTTCCCCCATCTCTGCTGATCTTCATTTAGCATGGTATCTATCTTCCCCCATCTCTGCTTTTTTGCTGCTTACTTAATCTATTCTTTTATATCTCAAGAGATTGGTTTAAGGCATACCCTACACTGATACTGCCTCATTAATATTAAAAAAAAATTCCCAAATGGGATTATAACCACAAGTGTAGGGGTTATGCTTTATAATACATATTTTGAGGGGACACAGTTACAGTCCATAGCACAGTGTGTATTGGAAAGGCAATAAAACATTTATATAAGGTGCAATGAAAAACAGGCAAAAGCAATCAAACTGTTCATTAGGATAAGAAAAGTTTCAGGAGGTTTTGAAAGATAGCAGTTGTCTACAAGCTCAAGTCAAAAAAGAAGGTCATTTTAGGAATAACAGTAGGAATCCCTCAAAACTGGTGTTCACAGAAGATGATTTTATGTTGTAGATCATATTTTTAAAATCTGAAGTCTTTTTGTGAATGCACAGTTTAGCTCAGCACTCACCCTTAAACACAAAGATGCAATAACAGTTTTCATTCCTCCCTAAACCTAACAGAGGTAATTGCTGAGAGAATAGTTTATATGCCAACATCTCAATATGTAGATAGAGAGCCAGGCCCTAAAAAGGTGTTTTGTTTTGGAAGTAGACACTTTTTACATATATACAGCTTTTTATATGTTTTCAATGAAACCCCACATTTTTTTAGACCTTGATATTGCCAACTGATTTTGTCTACTGGCTGTGTTTTTTCCTTCCTGCACAGAATCTGTTTTTTTTTTTTTTTTTGGTGCTTTAAGTGAAAGTTTACAATTCAAGTCAGTCTCATACAAAAATTTATTCATACACACTTTACCAAAGAATGCATTCAAATGGCCAACAGACACATGAGGAAATGCTCACGATCACTAGCCATTAGAGAAATGCAAATTAAAACCACAATGAGATACCAGTTCACCCCGGCATTACTGGCACGAATCAAAAACACTGGAAATAACAAATGTTGGAGGGGCTGCGGGGAGATCGGAACTCTTATGCACTGCTGGTGGGAATGCAAAATGATACAACCATTTTGGAAAATGATATGGTGCTCCTCCGAAAGCTAGAAATAGACATACCATTCGATCCAGCAATCCCACTCCTAGGAATATATCCTAGAGAAATAAGAGTCGTCACTCGAATAGACATGCACACATACGTTCATGGCAGCATTGTTCACAATAGCAAAATGATGGAAACAACCTAGATGCCCATCAACAGATGAATGGATAAACAAACTATGGTACATACACACAATGGAGTACTATGCAATGAGAAAGAACAACAATGAATCTGTGAAGCATCTCATAACATGGATGAAACTGGAGGACAAAGAAAAAAAACATTTATACATACATTGTTATGTGACCCTAGTTATTTTCCCTATACTATGACAGCACACTCCTCCTTTCCACCCCGGATTTCCT